AGATTTTCATTTGCAGATACATAATTCAAAAAACAAAAAATTGCATTTTTATATAGTTATTATAGAAGTAGTTAGATCCTAATAATAACTTTTTTTCTTTACTTTGATAGGGTGCATGCACACTCAAGTGGGAGTAAAAAGAAAGAAAGAGAGAGAGAGAGAGAAAGCACCCCTCAACGAGGCCTTATCCCACTGCAATTCTTTGTCCTCTATATCTCTGCCCCATCAGAAGCCTGGGCATGTGTATGGCCAACATGTTGCTTCCAGGTTGAAGATACAAATCGCAGCCACCCATGTGGGATCCAACTTCCTCTGGATAATGATTAACTGCTGCATCATGGGATGTAGCACTAGCTGCTATTTTTCAAGGTTATGACTCCTAAAGCAGTAAAACAAACAAGTTACCCAGTTATCCTCATTGCTTCCTCAAGAAAGCTGATGGAAGTAGCTATTCCCATCAATTATGTTATAATGAGATGTAAACAGGACAGACAGGTTAAAGAACTTAACTGTGTGTAAATGGTTAACAAATGGCCATTGTTATGGTTACATTGCTTCATGTCATTTAATTCATAAGTGATACATGGTTTCAGATAACTTAATTCATGAATTTATATTAGTTTTTTTTCTGTGTTATTGTAGTACTTACAGTTGTTTTGTTTGTTTGTTTTCTTTTTAATTTTGCTATAGGGTGTGTGTGCTCACTGGAGAAAGACAGAGAAAGAGGTTGAAAGTGAGAAATCACTCCTCATGGAGACGGCCACACCGCAATTTCTTCTCCATTATCTTCATGGTATTGTGAACACGCACGCCCATGCAAGAAACCAAGTCTGGGAGTAGAACAACATAGGCAGCCATGGACTTGAGGATCCATCCACCTTAGCTGACCCAATACCCTGCCACCTAACTGGTCCAATATGATTTAAACTGTGATTTTATGAAAAGAATCAGTATTTAAGTGTAGAATGTTTGAGGAAACAATATCATTCTTTTTTATGGTAGTGACTTATTTAAAAGCCTATCAGTTTCCCTTGCTTTTTGTATCATTGTGACTCATAAAACATCATAGCAGTAAAAAAAAAAGTACAATATGAATCTGTAAGTATTATTCACACTTTATCTCCAAGACCCTTTATCTTCTCCCATCCAATAAACATTTAACAATAGTTTCTGTTAAATTTAAATTTTATAAATTTAATAAATTATTTTAATGAATATACTACTGTTTATTATATATTATATTTCTTTTCCTATTCACATGGTTATTAGTCAACAAATGACTAAAACAAAACTAATATATGTGAATTTTAAAAAGGTCTTAATGGAGATGAATTATTAGCCATATTAAGTATTAATTATAAAAAACATCCCTTTTTGCTAATACAAACAATATTAAATGTTACATAGAAAAATGTTATAAATGATAGTGACTTCAATGGCATAGCAACTAATTTATTCCTTTGCATAAGAAAATATTAATTTTTGTTATTGATAAAGCCACTCATTTCATTCCAAGATAAATCTTTTTAAAAATTATGACTTTAGGGACCAGCAGTTGGCATAACGACTATGTTGCTGGACTCCCATTCGGTCACCCACTTGTTTGAGTACCAGACCCCGTGACTTAAACTCACGCCAGGTGCGTGTGCTTGTGTGCGCAAGGTCCCAAGAGGAGAATGGAGGAGAAGGGATTGCAGCGTGGCCATCTCCCCTGGGGGATGATTTCTCACTTTCTGTCTCTCTGTCTTTCTGTCTTCCTGGTGAGTGCATGCGCCCTATAGCAAAATCCTCCTCCCCAAAAAAGATGACTTTAGTGTACAGATATTTACAAAATATGTTTTTACACTTTTACAGAAAGATAAGGAAGATCAATGGCTGGAGAAAAAAGTGCAAGGAAATAAAGACCACATTATTTTGGAGCATCTGCAGTGGACGATGGGGTACGAAGTTCAAATCACAGCGGCCAATAGATTGGGATATTCTGAACCCACAGTTGATGAGTGCAACATGCCACCAAAGCCCAACATTATTAAAGGTAAGCAAAACTGTATTCTTTCTTATCATGAACATTGATATGATGCATTTTTGTAATCCCTATTGAACCTTTTTCCTAATAAAGAAAACATCAATTTATAACCTAAAATGTGAATTTTAGGCTCCAATCATCATTATTGTGACAAATCAAACTCAACGTTTCTCAGCCGATCTTACCATGGGGTGTTGATTAATTTGTGAACAAGCCTGTGATATCTTCAGCAGTTGAAGTGGTGGGGGGAGGGTAAGCAGAGGGAGAGGAGTGAAGGTTGGAGGGATTGATGAACATGAGTGTGGACAGTATCTGTTGAGACCGTAAGAAATCTACGCAAAGAACACTTCTCTGTCTTTCATGTGGGAGCCAGTGCTCCAACTGAGGCTAGATTTAGGCAAAGGCAATGAAGAGCCTATCCATGCCTGATCAAGCAAGCTGCATTTGGAAAAAACAAAATTGATCACACAGTGAGGCAGAAACAGCTATCACTGTAACTCCACAGGAGCTATAGTTAAGAGTTTCAAGGAGGCTCAGAGCATGTCTGGACACTCAAAATTTATTTTCATCCCCTACACGTGAATTCCATTTCTACAGGAAACAGGGCTTATATCACAACATGTTGCTATGTTAGTAATATTGTCAAAGTCTACAGGAGTAATATTAATGTGTTTTCAGATATAGGCCATAGAGGTAAAGATGCAGGAACTTACCTGGTCCAAAAGTCTATCTTATGCTGTTAATGAGTTGCCATATTGTTCATATTTTAACATTTATTTTCCTTAAGTTTTACCTTTAATATTTAAATTTTATACAGACATATGTGTATATACATACATATATACACACATTCTATAGATATACACATAGAGAGATGAAAGCAGTGTATTAATTCATAAACTTTGGTTTATTTAAGTCTTATTATAACAGAGTACCAGTATTGGTACTGATAATATTTTTGAAACTGGAAATGAAACTTCAGTTTAGTCATGTAATTTAACCCTCTTATAATTTCAGATTGATAGCAATATCATTTATTTTGAGGTTATATCATACATCCATTTTTTAAAAAATTGAAAGCAGTGTTATACAATTAATCTTTTGATTAAAATGTAATTAGTATTGGGGCCGGCAGGTGGCATGGTGGTTAAGGGCACTGGACTCCCACATGGCTGGCTGTCTGCAGTTCGAGTCCTGGACCTGGCATCTTGCCTTCTCACTTTCTCTCTGACTCTATCCCTCTGTTGTCAAATTAAAATAAATAAAAAGAGAGAGAGAGAGAGAAAGCACCCCTCAACGAGGCCTTATCCCACTGCAATTCTTTGTCCTCTATATCTCTGCCCCATCAGAAGCCTGGGCATGTGTATGGCCAACATGTTGCTTCCAGGTTGAAGATACAAATCGCAGCCACCCATGTGGGATCCAACTTCCTCTGGATAATGATTAACTGCTGCATCATGGGATGTAGCACTAGCTGCTATTTTTCAAGGTTATGACTCCTAAAGCAGTAAAACAAACAAGTTACCCAGTTATCCTCATTGCTTCCTCAAGAAAGCTGATGGAAGTAGCTATTCCCATCAATTATGTTATAATGAGATGTAAACAGGACAGACAGGTTAAAGAACTTAACTGTGTGTAAATGGTTAACAAATGGCCATTGTTATGGTTACATTGCTTCATGTCATTTAATTCATAAGTGATACATGGTTTCAGATAACTTAATTCATGAATTTATATTAGTTTTTTTTCTGTGTTATTGTAGTACTTACAGTTGTTTTGTTTGTTTGTTTTCTTTTTAATTTTGCTATAGGGTGTGTGTGCTCACTGGAGAAAGACAGAGAAAGAGGTTGAAAGTGAGAAATCACTCCTCATGGAGACGGCCACACCGCAATTTCTTCTCCATTATCTTCATGGTATTGTGAACACGCACGCCCATGCAAGAAACCAAGTCTGGGAGTAGAACAACATAGGCAGCCATGGACTTGAGGATCCATCCACCTTAGCTGACCCAATACCCTGCCACCTAACTGGTCCAATATGATTTAAACTGTGATTTTATGAAAAGAATCAGTATTTAAGTGTAGAATGTTTGAGGAAACAATATCATTCTTTTTTATGGTAGTGACTTATTTAAAAGCCTATCAGTTTCCCTTGCTTTTTGTATCATTGTGACTCATAAAACATCATAGCAGTAAAAAAAAAAGTACAATATGAATCTGTAAGTATTATTCACACTTTATCTCCAAGACCCTTTATCTTCTCCCATCCAATAAACATTTAACAATAGTTTCTGTTAAATTTAAATTTTATAAATTTAATAAATTATTTTAATGAATATACTACTGTTTATTATATATTATATTTATTTTCCTATTCACATGGTTATTAGTCAACAAATGACTAAAACAAAACTAATATATGTGAATTTTAAAAAGGTCTTAATGGAGATGAATTATTAGCCATATTAAGTATTAATTATAAAAAACATCCCTTTTTGCTAATACAAACAATATTAAATGTTACATAGAAAAATGTTATAAATGATAGTGACTTCAATGGCATAGCAACTAATTTATTCCTTTGCATAAGAAAATATTAATTTTTGTTATTGATAAAGCCACTCATTTCATTCCAAGATAAATCTTTTTAAAAATTATGACTTTAGGGACCAGCAGTTGGCATAACGACTATGTTGCTGGACTCCCATTCGGTCACCCACTTGTTTGAGTACCAGACCCCGTGACTTAAACTCACGCCAGGTGCGTGTGCTTGTGTGCGCAAGGTCCCAAGAGGAGAATGGAGGAGAAGGGATTGCAGCGTGGCCATCTCCCCTGGGGGATGATTTCTCACTTTCTGTCTCTCTGTCTTTCTGTCTTCCTGGTGAGTGCATGCGCCCTATAGCAAAATCCTCCTCCCCAAAAAAGATGACTTTAGTGTACAGATATTTACAAAATATGTTTTTACACTTTTACAGAAAGATAAGGAAGATCAATGGCTGGAGAAAAAAGTGCAAGGAAATAAAGACCACATTATTTTGGAGCATCTGCAGTGGACGATGGGGTACGAAGTTCAAATCACAGCGGCCAATAGATTGGGATATTCTGAACCCACAGTTTATGAGTTCAACATGCCACCAAAGCCCAACATTATTAAAGGTAAGCAAAACTGTATTCTTTCTTATCATGAACATTGATATGATGCATTTTTGTAATCCCTATTGAACCTTTTTCCTAATAAAGAAAACATCAATTTATAACCTAAAATGTGAATTTTAGGCTCCAATCATCATTATTGTGACAAATCAAACTCAACGTTTCTCAGCCGATCTTACCATGGGGTGTTGATTAATTTGTGAACAAGCCTGTGATATCTTCAGCAGTTGAAGTGGTGGGGGGAGGGTAAGCAGAGGGAGAGGAGTGAAGGTTGGAGGGATTGATGAACATGAGTGTGGACAGTATCTGTTGAGACCGTAAGAAATCTACGCAAAGAACACTTCTCTGTCTTTCATGTGGGAGCCAGTGCTCCAACTGAGGCTAGATTTAGGCAAAGGCAATGAAGAGCCTATCCATGCCTGATCAAGCAAGCTGCATTTGGAAAAAACAAAATTGATCACACAGTGAGGCAGAAACAGCTATCACTGTAACTCCACAGGAGCTATAGTTAAGAGTTTCAAGGAGGCTCAGAGCATGTCTGGACACTCAAAATTTATTTTCATCCCCTACACGTGAATTCCATTTCTACAGGAAACAGGGCTTATATCACAACATGTTGCTATGTTAGTAATATTGTCAAAGTCTACAGGAGTAATATTAATGTGTTTTCAGATATAGGCCATAGAGGTAAAGATGCAGGAACTTACCTGGTCCAAAAGTCTATCTTATGCTGTTAATGAGTTGCCATATTGTTCATATTTTAACATTTATTTTCCTTAAGTTTTACCTTTAATATTTAAATTTTATACAGACATATGTGTATATACATACATATATACACACATTCTATAGATATACACATAGAGAGATGAAAGCAGTGTATTAATTCATAAACTTTGGTTTATTTAAGTCTTATTATAACAGAGTACCAGTATTGGTACTGATAATATTTTTGAAACTGGAAATGAAACTTCAGTTTAGTCATGTAATTTAACCCTCTTATAATTTCAGATTGATAGCAATATCATTTATTTTGAGGTTATATCATACATCCATTTTTTAAAAAATTGAAAGCAGTGTTATACAATTAATCTTTTGATTAAAATGTAATTAGTATTGGGGCCGGCAGGTGGCATGGTGGTTAAGGGCACTGGACTCCCACATGGCTGGCTGTCTGCAGTTCGAGTCCTGGACCTGGCATCTTGCCTTCTCACTTTCTCTCTGACTCTATCCCTCTGTTGTCAAATTAAAATAAATAAAATGAATAAAGTCAAATAAAATAATCTTTTAAAATGTAATTAGTATTGATTATAAGATTTAGAAGTAATTTACATTATAGCTTTGTTTTGCTAATAGAATAAAAGCTACAATTCTAATTCAAAATTATGAAGTTTAGAGCCTCTAGAAATAACATGAATAACTTCTTCATGACGGCATTTTCTTTATAATTCACATATTCTGCACTCATTGTCTTAATTTATTTTTAAATCTGTATTGGAAAAGGAAGAGTTAACCTCATTTTACAAATACGATTTTTTATTTTTTATATGAATTTATTTTATACATTCAGTACAGCTGGTAAAATGCATTTACCCAACATGAACACGCATCTCACCAGTCCAGTGGAAGATAATCATACAACTTATTATCAACAGACAATCCTCCATTTCTGTGTCCCTCTAATGTCTTGCCACTCTATCTTTCTCCTTGATTACTTTCTTCTTACTCTCTCCCATCTCCCAGCCTCTTCCCACATTGTCTCCAGCTTCCATAAATGTTTTCCATGCATCTGTATCCTCTAATCTTTCAGTTTCTGCCATCGAGTGCAGTCAGTCAGTGCAGACATATTCAGTGGAGACATACAATATCTCTCTTTCATATCCTAGTTTGCAGAAAATATGATTTCATGAGCTTAAATTATCTGTTCATGTGACAAATCTGATCCCTTTAGGGGATGATGCACCTAAGCAAAAATGGTTGCATATATTGTACTGTCAACTTCACTGCCTCTGTGAGTTTAAATCATCCATACCTGCTTATACAAAAATAATCCCTTATGTTTGTAGTATTTAATCTCCATGCAGATATCAGGAACATGATATAAGTATGATGGGGTTAGAGTCTCTGAATAGAATTGTTGCAGTACACTTCACCCTCCTAATTTGTTTATTTCATATGTGTGGGGAAACTGTAAATTCTCATTAAGATAAAACTTAGTATTCTACATTAAAAATAATATTGTATGAAGTAAAAGACAAAATTTTAATAAAATTTCATAGGTCACAAAATGTGAAAAAATAGATTTTAGGCAAGTTACATTTTATATCCTCAGAATCCCTGCTATCATAATCAATTATTGATAACGAAGCAAAACACAGGTATGACAAAAGGTTAAAATAAAAGTTCAGAGTAAAGCAGATGGCATGATTGTTAAGATCCTGGATTTCCACATGGCCAAAATGGTTTGAGTCCCAAACACAGTGACTTGAAAATCACATTGGTATGTGTGGCTGTGTGCCCAAAATCTGAGAGGAGAATGGAAAAGAAGAGATTGTAGTGTGGCCATCTCCTCTGAGGATTGATTTCTCACTTTTCATCTCTCTGTCTCCGTCTTTCTCTAGTGAGTGCATGTGCCCTATGGCAACACTTAAAGAAAAAAAAAAAAGAATTTAAAGGCCCAAATATATGTATGAAGGTACAGTAATGAATGAGACATGCTTTGATGTATTTACCCAAAAACTATTTGTATTTGTTTGTTTCTCTTTCAGAAACTTTGGGGGAGAACTTATAGGTAAGATCTGGAAGGAAAATTGACACCAATCTAGTTAATTTCCCCAGATTTGTTCTTGTCACAGAACTTCTCTTGATATTTTCTATAGGGCACGTGCATTCTCCAGACAGACAGACAGACAGAGACAGAGAGACATAAAGTGAGAAATCACCCCCAGGAGGGGATGGCCACACTACAATCCCTTCTCCTCCATTCTCCTCTCAGGATCTTGGGCATGCACGCATACACGCTCGGTGTGAGTTTAAGCCACCCAGTCCAGGACTTGAACCACAGTCGACTACATGGGAGTCCAGGGACATAACCATTATGCAACTGCTGGTCTCAGTATATACTTCTTATTCACTAAAGTTAGTTTCTTCTGATCTGCAATGTTTAGATGCATTGTTCACTTATTCATTTTAGAGCCCAGACCCTGCTTTGTGATGAGTATGGAGATGGGTCCAAGGGTTTCATCTGTTGAACACATAGAAGTGTTTTCCAAACTACACAATCTAGCAGGGAAGTCAGGCAGTCAGAATGAGTTTAAGTAGTCCACATATAAAGAATGTGCTCATGCAACTGGATGCTATAAAGAGCTAGGTAAGGGATAGTATTAGGGGACACTTCCCTAAAGAAGTAACTTTCAAAGAGATGCCTATATGGTGGCTGGTGGCTGAATTTTTCAGGGGAAGTGTGCTACTTTGAAGAACTCTCTATAACACAAAAGAGCTTGCTCTGCCTTAGGAAATGCAAAAGGGAGAACCCAGATGTGTGTGTGACGGAAAACAGAAAGAGCTTGCTCTGCCTTAGGAAATGCAAAAGAGAGAACCCAGATGTCTGTGTGATGGAAAACAGGGCTAGAGAGGGAGCTTATACTCAGACAGCCCAAAGCCTTCTAAGACCCATATAGATAATGAAAAAAATAAACAGATCCTAAATGAAGGAAGAGATGTTTTGAACAGGGAGGTTAGTTAAGTAGAAGTTATTATGAACAGATGAACAGATTATTTTTGCTCTCATGTAAGAGCGAGAGATGGGCTAATTAAAATACCTTAAAATAATGATAACTGTCAGGAACCGGCAGGCGGCATGGGTGGCTTTATCACTTTCCTTCTCTCTCTCTCTCTCTCTTACTCTGTCCCTCTCTCTCTCTCTTACTCTGTCCCTCTCTGGTCAAAATAAAATATACAAATAAATAAATACATAAATAAATTAAATGAAGTTCAATAAAATAATTCTTTTAAAAAAAGAAATAATGATAATTGTAAAAAAAAAAAAAAAAGTTTCTGAAACATTTTGGTTGTAGATTATCCCTACCTGAGAAATAGATTGAATTCAGTAATGGTCACTTTTCAGTTTCTGGCTTGGGCAACTAAAACATAACTGGTGTTATTTTTCAAACTGAAATATTTTGTAAGAGGAGCACGGAACAGGATTTGGAGAATGAGGACCAAACATAAGATTGGCTTCATATTTGTTAATTTCAAAATATCAAATCATTGGTTAATTGTGTGGATCTAGAGATGAAGATAGGCGTGACGTGCAAACACACTGAGCAGAGGTTGGTCTTAAAGAAGTGATTTGCAATCTGCATTAAGACAAAATCACTCAAAAATATAATGACTGTGTTCTGTGAAGAGGGGTTGGTATCTGCAATACACACTAATATTTTCCTAGCACCAATGTTCAGGGCATACTTCTTGAGTAACTGAAGAGTACGGGGTGAAGAACTGATACCCAAGGAACTGTCATATTACACTGGAAGAAGATACAACACTCTCTTCCCTATACCCCAAAATGAGACTAAATGCTCTAGAGTTACTAGAAAAACTTTAGAGTGTGTTACTTTAGAAGTTAAGAGGGAGTCTTATTAATAAAGAAAAGGTGTGAAGTGTCAAATGGTGCTGAGATTAAATGAACCAAAATAGGTAGAGGTGTATTTATTACAACCAGCTCTGTTGTAGTGGTTCAGGAAGAAATTAGGGAAGAATAGATTGGGGATTACATGTGAGAGTAAGAAGTTAGGCTGTAATTTGTCACTTATAATAATGTTTTTTAAAAAGATAAACAGAGGGAAAAAAAAAAAAACAGGCAGTGTTGGACTTCTGTGATGAAGAAGGCTAGAGGGTCATACCTGATGAAGCAGATCGAGTAGTCAAAGAAACGTTCGAAGTCCAGATGTAAAGACAGCTATGTGTAGAGGCAGAAGAAGGTGTGCAGCTTTCTAAGCTGT